CCCCCCCCCGCCCCCTCCTAGTTCTGTTGTGTCGTTTTCCCCTTCCCCAGGAAACACTCCCCCTCGTTTTCTAGCCGCTCTCCCTCCTTCCCACCTCTCCTCTCTCCTGCCGGCGAAGCCACACCGGGAACCACTCATTGAGTTGAAGGCAAACCACCAAAAGCGGATTTGTGAGGAGTGAGCTGGAGAGGAGGTAGATGTTCAGGGGAACTCGACACAGGCTGTGAGCTAAGTTGTTGCCCCCTGTGCACTCCAATGTCTGCCCTCTGCTATGGCACTGTGTTTTCATTTCAGAATTTCTTTGAAGACCTGGGGTAATCACAAAGAGGTGATCTAAGCTCTGCATGTGCATGGGGGTGTGTTTCTGTGCATGGGTGTGTGTGTGTGTGTGTGTGTGTGTGTGTGTGTGTGTGTGTGGTCAGTGATGCGGGATCAAATGATAATGCTCTGTGTGAAAGAGTGCAGCTACTTTACAAGAAGCACGAGGAAGAGATGCAGCTAGAGATAACGAGAGTCATCGAGGAAACACATCAGAAAATTGATGCTCTCTTTGAAACACAGATCGAGAAAGAGCTTCAGAATGGTGTCAGAGCTGCCGAAGCTGATGCGCTTGAGGTTGCTCAAGGCTGGCATAAGAGGTTGCTGTGCATTACATACAAAGTAAGCATTGATCGCTGAGGAACAAGCACTCTCCTCCTCCCCTCCTTCGTCCACTCCTCATCATAAGTCCGTCGTCTAAAAGAGACCATTCCTTCGATTGTGGGTTGGCTTAAGTGCAGAAGAAACATACGCTACTTGTGAAATGACAGTGAAGATGGTGATAACAGCAGGAACACTGTTTTCGGAGTATGCCTGGTTGTTTCTAGACTGATTAGATTAGGTAAGTGGGAGGTTCAGACAGAGATCAGTTGTATTTTGAGCTATATGCTTAAACATATACCTGATGGGCAGCTGAACGATGTGCATCGGGTATAGCCTTTATAGGTGGATTTCAAATCCTGTTCAGGGTGATGATGCTAAGTTCTCCTCTCCTTCTCTTCCCCTTCAGAAGAGAACAGAAGATATAACACTCCTTTCAAACAGTTTGTATTGGTTGGGCTGGTGTTAGTCCGTGGTTGTTTTCCGTCAGTCCTTTTTTTTGTGGATAAATCTAAGGTCAGCTCAGCTGCAGTCTCTCTTGGCCCGGACTCTTCTTTTCTTTGAGAGTGAATCTTCGAAGTTGTAACCGGTCATCTAGTTCATGTTTGCGATCACACTTTGGGACCTGTATGCACACGTGTTTGACATCTAGTCCCAGCTTGCTTTCAAAGCATTATGTTTCCAACTTTCCATCAATCCCCTTTTTTTGTTCGTTACAGTTCGTATAAATATAAGGTCAGCTCGGCAGTGTCTATATGCGGACATGTGTTGCTTTTCAAGTTTCTCTACTTTCCAGGCAGCATGCAGTCTCTGCTGACCCGAACTCTTTTTTTCGTTGAGTGTCACTCTCCCAAGCTGTAACAGGTTATCTAGTTCATGTTTGAACTCTCACTCTGAGACCTGTATACGCACATGTAAGGCACTGAAATGTGGTGCTTGGCAATTTTTCACTGCTTTCCAGGCAGCATGCAAGCCAGGGAGGGATGGTGTGTTCATTGGATCAAATAGAGTTGGTCCGATTGACTTCAATGAGGACTTGGCAAAACCTATATTGGACAATCTGACAATTCCGTGGTGAGTCTGTCTTCTTCGCTATGATTTCCCAGCAAAGGTTGTGTGATGATTGCATGTCTGCTGCATAGATTCCCTCTGTTTCTTCTGCCGTTTTACAAAACAAGAACAGTGACAACTCTTGGCATTTATGTCCCAGCCTGATGTTGTAAGATCTCAGGACTCGTAAATTAAAACATAAACTGAAATTAAGGGCAATGTGTCTCGCTTACACTTTTTTTTATTTTGCCACCTCCCCTCCTCCTCCTCCTCCTCCTCCTCCTCCTCCTCCTCCCTCTTCTTCTTCTTCTTCTTCT